AGAGCAATCAGAAAATCGTTATCAGTATGCAAAATCTCATGGCAACTGTGAGAAATTGTCTTAAGCCACAACAAACTCATGTTTAATCCTGATATATACATTTTCCTATCTTATAAAATAGGTGATGAATTTTGAAACGTCCATCTTTTTTAAACTGTCAAGTAGGACCCTAGAAATAGTTTCCATAAATAATAATGGGAGCTGGTCACAACCTGTCGGTGAAATTTTGTGGTAGGTAAACAGCCGTTACGCCCTAATAGTTGTGAGTGGCACATTAGTGAGAGCAGCAACATTGGAAACAAAACCCCAATATTAATTTACTTTAATACAATTATTGACAGTTGTTCAATTAATTTTCAATTACAATTTAAAATGTGGGACAGAGTCCCAGGCCAATAATATGGTCGAGAAGAGGCTAACAACCGAGACTGTCCCATGAAAATCAGGACAGCTGGCAAGTATGCAAAGGGTACATTACATTTAATACATTTAATTAGTTTTACTGATGAACTGTGCTACAAGTTCTAAACCTCGTGATATTTACATTTTCGTCCCATGTGCTGTATCCAGACTCTCATGCTTGCCATTACTGCTTGCAGTTATAGTTTTTCTTTTATAATCATTAGTTTACATTGAAACTGCAAACTGGAACATAAATATGTTTTCATATGGGTAAGCTAATTATAACACCCAGAAATACCAAAGGGAAATGAAAATATATTTAAAACTTAACTATTAGTATATACATCTAAAAAATATAGTATAACTTACATGAATACCCTAATTAAAAAGGAGGTGAGGTATAGCCTAAATCGCATGACCAGGCCGTTTTCAAAATTTTTGCCGCTGGGACCAAGGCTGTTTTCACATCTGCGGTGTTTGTGTTTAGCTGTAATTTTCCTCTTACTCATTTACTGTACCCATACATATTATATACTGTTTTTCTTGCCATTAAATGGTATTTCTAAAGATACCATTACTTTCATCATATCATATAATTTACTGTAATTTTGTTTATAAAATATGATAGAAAAATTGAAAAAAACCCACACTTTTTTGAACTTTGACCCCCAAAATCTGTTACGCATCTACAAATGCCAAAAACCACCCATGCTAATTTCTAAATTTTGTCCTGAGTTTAGAAATGCCCAATGTTAGCATGTTTTTTAGCTTTTTTTTGTTTTAAGTTATAGGGCTATAAGCACAAGTAGCACTTTTCTATTTCCAAACCAATTTTTTTTCAAAATTAACGCATGTTACATTGTAACACTGATATCTGTCAAGAATCCCTGAATAACCCTTAACATGTATATATTTTTTTAAAAGAAAACAACTTAAGTTATTAAACCTGGATTATTTTGAATCTTTTCATGCAACCATTTTACCACCAATCTATGCCAAATTAAAAATAAAAAAATTATAATTGGTGATTATTTTGAGACACATAGCAATTTAAAAATATATGTACTGAGAACTTTAAGGGTTACTGCCAAAGAACACCCCAATATGTGTTCAGCAATATCTCCTGAGTACAGGGATACCACCCATGTATAGGTGTGTTGGGTTCTCTGGGGGCTAAAATACCTTATTTGGAGGGTGCGCATTCCAGTTTTCCAACTTGGAATTTTCACAGTAAGTCATCATGCACCCATGTCCAATTTGGGACATTTTTGAAGCCGGACAATATAATTTAGCCCCATCAAACCATATATTTTTGAAAAGTAGACACCCTAGGGTATTTCAAATGGTGGTATTTTAACACTTTCCATGTATTAATTCTACCACCAGACTTTTGGATAGTCGTTTTTTTTGTGTGTTATTTTTCTCTCACATTGTACTTTAGGCATGGATTTTTAGTTCCGTTTATGTGTTACTGACAAAGAAACCCCCAATATGTGTTCAGCAACATCTCCCAAGTACAACAGTGCCCCCAATGTACAGGTTTTATGGGCTTTTGCAAACTTACAGGGGTCAAATGTAGGGCTTTACCCTTTTCTATGTTTGCACATTGAAATTTGCCAGATTGGTTTGCTGGGCCTATGTTGCCTTTGAGACCATATAGCAGCCCAGGAATTAAAATTGGGTATGTCCAGTCTTTTGTAGTAGCCACTTAGTCACAAACGCTGGCCAAAGTTAGCATTTTTCTTTAGTTTTTTGCATTTTTCTACACAAAAACTGCACTTTTACTGGTGATTTCATCATTGGAATACATTTTACTAATTTAGAACACTCTTATTTGTGTTCAACGAAGTCTCCCGAATATAACAATACCCCCATGTACAGGTTTTATGGTGTTTTGGAAGGTTACAGGGTCAATATAGGGCTTGCCCGATCTAGTTTGCAGGACCTTTGTTGCTCTTTCAGACCATATGGTAGCCCAGGAATTTGAAATAACACCATCATGACTTACCATTTTCAAATGTAGACAACCCAGGGTATTCCAAATGGGGTATTTCCAGTCTTTTGTCGTAGCCACTTAGTCACAAACACTGGCTGAAGTTAGCGGTTTTATTTGTTTTTGTATAAATGTTTTGGTTTTTAATTATATATAAATATACATATATTATTTTTATTTTTTAGTTCACTTCACTGTCTTCACATTTACACATTATTTTCGTTTTTTTCACATCTCACTATTTGTATTCACTCTTTTTGGTCTCTTCTGTAGTTCCTAAAATCCTCCGGTGCTAGAAAGATAGTCTGCGGCTATCTCTTATTCACTCACTTTAATATCACTTAGGTTGCCCAGCAACTGCTGTAATCACCGCGGGACGTAACGTAATGACCTCACCCGCGGCTTCTGCACACCTCCGAGTCTCAATCGTTTGGGGAGGTTCTATGGACTGCACCTGGTAAGCAAATATGTTTTATTTCTTATAAATATGCACTGATTGTTGTACACTTTGTTCTGATCTTGATAAAGACCTGAACAGGTCAAAACGTTGATCTGCTGAACTCTGAATTTATGGACACAGTAAACTGAACACTTTTCAAATCCAGGAGTGCGCCTCATTATTCGTAATATATATACACATATATACATACACACATTACGTGCCTGTGTGTATATTATATATATCTATCTCACACACACACACACACACTTTTATTTCCTATATATGTATAATATATAATAATTAAATCATTTTATAATATATTATACATCTATGATTTCATCATAAGTGTATTTTGAGATATATATATCAAAGTACACTTATAATGGAATCATATAGATGCATTATATATGTATAATATATTATAAAGTGATTAAATTATTTTATAATATATACATATATAATATAGGCACTCCTCACTTATTGACCAGGTTCCCTTCCTATGA